CATAGCTATATAGTGCTGATTTGACATCGTTTTCGCAACTTGTTTGAAACGGAGGGGAAACCTTGTGGAACATACCTAGTGCTACGTCTTCTGCCAAATTATCTATTATAATTTCCAGCCTCAGACCGTTGACTTGGTACATTTACAGCCATCTGGCCGGCATCGCAGTCGGTATCTTAAGTGAGGGGCGCCATCCAATTTATCAAAATGGCAAGTTTTAATACCTGGCCAGGTTCATGCCCCTGTCAACCGAGCTATCGTTCAGGCTACTTACATCCACTGCGTTTGGGAATGTACCCAGCAAATGGTCCAATGCTGGAAATCACGAATAGTATGGCAGAGGACACGAGACTAGGTACGTTCCACAAAGTCCCCCTGACGCTCCGACCAAGTTGCGAAAACAAGGTCAATCAATAAAATTAATTTATTTCTCAACTGTTGGATATTTAACGAATGGTTAATTTTTACAAGTAATGATGCGTACATCAAACTTGCTGACCTCTTGCATAAGTATAACAAGAACGTAATTCGAGCTTATAGCAGCCTTTGAATATCATTAATTTAGTTTTTGTTTTCTATGTAATGACCAAAAGACTAATGGTAGTATATACATGGTATATTTACCTTATTCCGTTTAAGGTGATAAGGGGACTGGTAGTTGTATTTTCTCGCAATGACATGAGCAGACTTTAAGTTTCATAGCCTTGCTTTTCCAAAAAGTGTTATTATCCATGGTGGACTGTGGCTCCAGCGTCGCCTGGGTTTCATCACCATCCCCAGCGGGACCTGAACTATGACAGGACAGCGTATAATCTCAACACGTTAACCACTACGCCACATTGCCACAACTGCTCTTGGGTCCACTCCCCTTATTATCATAAACGAAAAACGATGAATACATCTCACTGCTAGTCTTAAAAAACTAATTATAAATGAAATACTAATGGTCTTTGTTTGATCGAGAAATAAGGACAAACATTTATCTTTTTAGTGTGGTGCCATCGAACTTGCTGTTTACCTCGCTCCTCCCTTCTTTCTCTCAGCTTGCTGATCTGATTCAGACCTCCTTTATGGGCCCGTATATCTATTTCTTATCCTTCTGTTTGACTGATTTCACTCCGTTCTAGTCCCGATGTATTTTTTGCTCCAGACTCTGTTTCTCAAGTCTTTACAAACAAGTACACTGTCACTTCACCGAGCAGAATTCTAGGCTGTTATTCCCATGCTGATTGATATCAGGCAGTCTCCATAGCTCATTATAACGTATATAGATTGTAGATATAACTTATCAATAATTATCCTCCTTGCCGAAGATGCACAGAGGGCCCATTAATGCTCATTGTTAACAATAAGTATGCAGTAACACACAAATTGACAAAGCTCATATGCTTGAAACTCAAGCATTTAAACGATAGGTTAACAAATACAATTAAACATTAATTTGAATTTTATCAAAGGATCAAAAACAGGGCCCTGGAAAGAATAGAATAATTGATAAGCTTTGATGTATAACCTATGCATACCAACCTCTTTGAAGAAGAGGTGCTTACAGCCCTGCTGGAGATCTTGGATCGAGAAGAGGATACCCTGGAGTCTTTGACATGACTAATCAACTCGATAATATGGGCTATCTGCTTCACATTCAGCGGCAATATCTGGACTTCCTGTAAAATCACCGCTTTCACCTCTTTTGGCGAACGTATGCATAAACAAATCAGAAGGTAATTTTAAAGCGTCACAGTTGCAATCAAGAGTTCTTATAGGGTAACTGGATCATCACTTCGCACTTTAGCCGTAAGAAAGATTGGACACGAGATCTATTGGAAGGCGACATAAAGAAGCATCATCACATCCACAGACTAAGGATCGGAATAATGGGAGTCATGATCATTATAAGTCTACGATTAAAGGAAGTGTAATACTGGGATCAAGAATTGGACTTATTTACTAGGATGTTCCTCAGCATAGGATACCCGAAAGAAATAATATAAATAAGCATACAGACTGTGAAAATTCGATGTCAGGACGGATTATGAAAGAAAGAAAAGGATGGAGAAAGACTTAAAAAGTGGACACGCCTACCTTCATTCAAACTAACTCAACAACTACGGCCTATACTAAGAAAATAGACTCTTCAGATGACAATTAGGGTAAAACCAACATTCTTCACAAGTTTAGCCACGTAACATGAACGAGTAGATACATTTGATTGCTCGGGAGTTTACAGTATGGCATGAGGGGTCTGCAAACATAAATATATGCGCGAAACCGGTTGAAAAATCAGCATACGAATCAAGGAACATTAAATGTTCTGTAGGAAAATGGATACGACAGATCGGAAATATCAGAAAATATTTCACAGATTGGGCACGAAATCAATTGGAAGGCGACAGAAAGAAGGGCGCCAATTGGAGGATACACAAGTAAATAAAGATTATGGAGAAATTTAATGAACAGGAGTTTGGAAGAAGGCATAGTTAGCGATAATTTTGCATATCGCTTAGGCAAACTCGGAGAAAACAAGTTTATGTCAAGACCAGAAAAAAAAGATGTTTTTATGAAAGGCCTATCGCTCACCGGGAGCAAATAGACTGCATGAAAGAGCGGGAGATTAATATTTGGAAATCAGGCGAAGACATAGTATAGTCTCCTCGAATAAACAGCTAAAACATTGGTGGTTGTTGGTCACATGATTAGGGAGACGAATTATCAGAGCCGTAACAGAGACTCGGAATTATGGCCAAATTGACTAGAAATCTACTCGAGATGCAGCAGGTAACCATAGATAGACGTCCACAGTTTGTCCAAGATACAGAGTTTGAATCATGAAAATGGGCCAAGGAGACGATGCCTGACATCTGTAAGTATAAAAATCACAGCCTAGGCCCTTTACTTGGTGAGGCGATAGTGTAAATGTATGTAAAGGCTTGAGAAATAGCACCTATGGTAAGACATATACTGGGACTAGAGCGGAATGAAATCAGACAAGCTGAAAGATAAGAAACGGACCAATGGAAACATAAAGAAAATTCGGATATGAGGTCCGTGCAAAGGGGCAAGGTAAACAGCAGGTGTGGTGACGCCACACTAAACTCGCAAAAATGCCCACATCTCCAGAATACCTGAATACAAAGTCGGAAGTTGTGATTTGGAGGCAGTGAGATACGAGGGTAGGAACTAGGTAGAGGGATAGTACAACCGTTCGACCAAAGGTTGGTCAAGGGATTAACTTTACTTGTCTCAGTAGCGAATCGTCGTCTGCTGCTGAGAATGACAAGACTCACTGACGATGCCATTGAATGCCTGGGAATGTGCCAATGTACGGTCCAATGCCGGTACTTATGACAACTACTAGATCAGACCACTTCGGACAAGGTGTGTCTAACTAGGTCGCCCTGAAATCACGACCAAGTTGCGAAACCGTGCTCAGACCACTTTTATACTCTTGCTTTTTAACCT